GCATTGTCTGGAGCAGAACTCAGGCAGTGTGGGAGCCCCTCCAGAAAAACAGCCACTGTCGGTTGGTGATGTCCGAGGTGGGGCTGTAAGGAGGCGACATTCACTCATTCATCTCCACATTCAACAACCATTCGTTCAGAGCCTGTGTGCCAGCACGTGTGCCGCAATGCTGTCCTCCGTTCACTCATTCATCTCCACATTCAACAACCGTTCGTTCACAGCCTGTGTGCCAGCACGTGTGCCGCGATGCTGTCCTCCGTTCACTCATTCATCTCCACATTCAACAACCGTTCGTTCAGAGCCTGTGTGCCGGCACCTGTGCCGCGATGCTGTCCTCTTCGCTCAGCTCTCAAAGGCTCGGCCACATAAACAGCAAAAAGTCCATGGCCAGGCTTCTCTCAGCTCTAAGCCCCTCTTCCTTCAAGCCTCTCCAAAGTCATATAAAAGATCACCTGGCCCGGGTCCTGTTTTCTCCAGGTCTTGAACAAATTAGATGCTTGGGAGTTATTTGTGGAAGGAAGAAAACAAAAATGAGTGAATTACCACATTTTCCATGTTTTATTCATTCATTCAGCAAAGAAACCAATATATACACTTTGCAAGAAGGCCCTTTCAAGGATTGGGGGTTGAATTAGATCCAAACTTTACTCTCCAGGAATTTATAGTACCATCTGAGATTAGACACATACCCACAGTTCTGGAAAACACTGTCATTGTTTGTCCAAGTTCCTCAGGGTGCCTGGCTTCAGGGAGGTAGGCATAATTTGTCTGGGGTCTGGGTCACCAGAAGGGAGACACGTGGGACAGCAAAACCCGGGGGCAAAGGGTGAAGCCAGCCCCTCCCCACAAAGCAGGGACCCTGTGCCCCACTGTCTTCCTGGAACCAGGAAACAGAAAGCAGCTGTGAAGGTGGCAGGGCAGCAAGAGGGCAAGAAGAGAACGACGACGGTACAGATCCACTCGAAGGGTGTCCTTGAAGATGTCTGAGTCTTGCTGTTTGTTGCCTGGACGGCTGGCAGTGACCACTTCGTGGCTCAGGAAGCAGCATAGGAGGGATGCAGGTGTAACCCCAACTCCAGCCCACTAGCCGGCTTCCCATGGCTGACCACAGCGCGGCCCCTGTCTTATCCTTATTAGCTGCACCTGTGCCTCTATCCAGGCTCACCGGCAAGCTCTTGAGCAGAGAGTTCTGTTTGTACCTGCACATGGCAATGCTACCCAGTTCCTGGCCCCTGGGACCTGCCTACTCATGCCTCCGCTAGCTGTGAGAAAGGGGAATTTGATGGAGGTGGAGAAATCCAGAAAAAAAGAGAACAGCACAGAGCCTTGAAGGATGTGGCCATGGAGACAGGAAGGAGCATGGTGTGGGGAGATGGACACTTGCTCAAAACCTCATCTCCAGAACTTAACCCTCTCTTCTGGGATAGTCTCAAGCCAGACCCAGGAAGCAGCACAGTCTGTGGGCAGTCTTTGGAGAGTCTTGCAAAGCTTGGCCTGTGAGCTGAGATCTCCAACTCCCAGAGCCATTCTTTCTGGTTTGGTCTTGCAGAGAGCAGGAGGTTGGCACACATGCATGAAGATGGGTGTGCACATGTGGGGCTTCATGCAGATACACCTATGAAGATCTTTCGGGCCCCTGGAGAGGGTCCCCTCATCCCTTTAAGGCCTGTGCCTGGTGACTCAGAGCAGACAAGGCAAGGAGAGTGTGCAGGTGACTCTGTGACCACAAACCAGAGGCTGGACTGCAAAGCGTTTCACAGGCCCCATGAGGGCAGCTCCTCATCATTTATATTTTGCTGAGGGTCTTCTTGAATGGCTGCCTGCATAAAACTATTTAGAAGATTGCTGGTGGAATCTGAATCTATCCGAAATAGAATTCCATTTTCTGGAAATGTACACGAGTGTGTGTGTGGGTGTGCATGTGCCCATGAGAGGGAGTGTGCGTGTGTGTGCATATGAACACAAGTTGCTGTGCTGGAGAGGAAGCTGGGAAAGGAGAGGAGAGCATGCATTTAGTCATCCACATACATACATATATGTACACACACATGCATTCACCCACAGCCTGTCTCCCAAATCCATGGCTCGAAGTCACTTTCTTTTCATAGACCAGACCTCACTTAGACCAGCAGCTTCAACCTTGCCTGCACATTAAGATCACTTGAGGAGCTTGTAAAAATCCCAATGACCAGGCCACACCCTAGACCAATACCTCAGAATTTCTGGAGATGAAATTGGGCTTCAATACTTCATATCAATATGTAGTAATCTCCTTTGGCGATTCCAATTTCCTGCCAGCGCTGAGTGCTCCTCTGCCTAGAAAGCCCTTCTCCTACTCCCCTGCTCAGAAAGCTTCTACTCACCCTTTAAGACCCAAGTCCCATGGCTACTTTCCAGGAAAATCCTTCCTGAGAACCTCCCCAGGAGTTAGTTCTTCCTTTCCTGAAGCTCCCAACAACACCTTAGTCATCTGAATGTAATCATAATTATTTGCTTGTCTACCTGTCTGTCCCACCCTCCGTACAGAATCCGGAGCTCCATGATGCCACGCACTACACTAGATCCATCTCTTCATTCCCCCTGCCTGTCTTAGTGTCTGACAGGCAGCTGGTCATCAATGACGCTTCAGAATGCAAGGCAAGTATGTAATGAAGTATGTATGCAGGAGGGGGATGGGAGGTGGAGGATGGGCTGTTTCTGGGTGGTAAGGCCATGAGTCTGCTCCTTTGGCAGCAGAATGGAGTACACTCCCTTTAGTAATAGAAAGCGTCCTCTATGTCAACAGTTAGATGCTGGTCGGTCCACATGTCCTGCTTCCTTAGGAAGTACCGTCAGGGTTACTCAGAGGCTCCGAGGGAAAACAGAGCGGTGCTGTTATCTGTGCCAGGTCACAAGGTGACTGAACCTTCCTAACGGACCCTCCTGGCCCCATTCCATGCCCACTCTGTCCAGTCTGCATCCAGAGCACCTTTGCTCTGAGGAGTGCTCAGGGCCACCTGGGTCCCCTGTTTCTGTGCCAGTGCAGGGATCCAGGACAGCATGGACACTATGGTCCTCAGTAAAGGGCCAGCCTGAGAAACACTACTGCAAGAGGGGCTCCCTGCAGCCTGCCCCAGCCCAGCCCAGGAGTCAGGTAGCAGAGACACTGACAGTGTGACACTGGTGAAACCAAGAGACAAACTGTGTCCTGCATGGCTGCAGCCTCTGGTCCCCTCCTATCCCCCTTTCCTTGGCCAGCCCTGTCCCTTCTGCCTTTATAGTGCTCTCCTATTTTTTATCTTATCACCCCTTCCCCCAGTCCCAGTGGGCCTTTATTGTCCCTACCTTAGGCCCACTGAGGTGAAGCAATGTGACAAGGCCACACAGAGACTTTGGGCTGGGACTGATGATGGGGCTGGAAAAGGTTTGAGAGCACAGGATTTGAAGTGAGGCCATCCTGATTCAACAACTGGCTCTGTCACCAACTGGCCCTGTCTCCTTGGGGCCTCAGTTTTCTCATCTGTGAAATGGGGTTAATAATAGGGGCCCCCCCATCTCATAAATCCATGGTGCAGAATGAGTGCAGTGTGGACAGACAGGGCTCCTCATGTGTTCCTGACCAGGCCTCCTGGTCACTAGTCCAGGCTAAGACTACTGTGAGAACCACCCTTCACCCCCTTCCACACACAGACACACACACTCTCACCCACACAGCACTTACTCCTGAAGGGCTCTCAACCTGTCGCTAGAGACCGACCCCTCCCTCACACTCCCCAGCCGATGACCAGCCAAAGTCCTGGTCACCCACAGAGTCCACTCGACACAACTATTTTCTTGACATCTTGGGGCTTTTACTTCAATTTGAAGCAGATGGTTGAGCACAGACGTGAACAGCTTTGGCCATTTGAGCACAAGGAAGGGGCAGGCCTTGGCTTTGAACACGCCCCCCTGCTCCCATCCTCCACATACTGGCCCAGTCCCCTGGTCCCTTCCTCCTCTGCCCCTGCACACCCTGTAACAGACCACCGTCCTCCAAGTGGGGCTCCATCTTGCCCAGTAGGACGGCTCCAGTCAACCCAGCCTCTACTCCTTCCTCAGGCCACGGGCAGGGTAAACAAGAGAAAAACTCTTTCTGTCCATGGCAGGGCCCGCTCATGGTGCTGGCTGCCTGCGATGCGGGCCCATGGGGATGGGTCACAGTGAGGGGAGGCTGGCTAGGGGAGCAAAGACCCGTAGGTAGCTGCCCTGGTGCAAGTCCCTGGTGTAGGGGAGGGAGTAGTATTGCTTCTCTCCCTGCTTACTCCCTTCTGGTGATGCTCAGGGCCCAAGGAGCCTGGACCCAGGGGACACTGAGAACTGGGACCGGCGGCCTAGGCAGCCAATGAAGGGGAAACAGTGGGCAGGGAACTCAGGCCCCACTCCTGGCCCTGCCCAGGCACCCCAGCCTCCCTCTCACAGCCCCTAAGACTTGTCTTGCACTCAGTCAGTGCAAGGCCTGGTGGAGAGAGAGCACCAGGTCAGAGGGCCCAGTGCCCCAGGGCTCATCAAATGCCCAACCCTTCCATGAGCTCCTGGCAGAACCACTGACTCATCTTCGACTTGAGATGGGGCTCAGGCAACAGGAGGAGCAAAAGTCACAGAGCAACGGTGTGGCTTTTCACTGTGGGGTTTCGTCACCCCATTTCCTTCGGTGTCTCTGTCGAATCTTTGGCAACGAATTTCTGCAGCTGGACAGTGGGCCTTGGGCTCTGAGTGAGTGGGGGACTGAGCTCTCCCCTCCCCACCAGGCAGAGGGCAAAGTGCGAAGCAGCCTCGGAGTGGCTGGGTGAGGGCGGAGGGGAGAGGGAGGCAGACATGCTCCGATCCGACCCTGAGAGGCTGTAGGCCGGGCGTCTGGCGGTATCTTGGAGAAGACCACGAGGCTGGACTCAGCGAGCTCACCTTGTCCTCAGGCCTGACTGGAAGGAAGGCCCACAGTGGTGGCCTTGGTCTCACCCGCAGCCAGTCACTCCTGAAAGATATGACCAGCCATTAGAAGCTGCCCCTACTCCACCTGGTTCCTGTTTCCGGACACCTGCAGAATGTCCCCTCACTGAGTCCTCCAGACACGGGCCTCCATCTTGAAGGGTTCGATAAGTGGAAGAGCCAGGATTCAAACCCAGGCCTGGCTGCCTCCAGAGCCCACACTGCCCCCCTCCTCCTTAGTGCTACATTTCAGAGGCCTTGCGTTTTGGTTGGTTTGGGGAAAGAAGAGGACCACAGTGGGTAGTGGGAGCCAGGGCCGCTGGAAGCTCAGGGACACCTGGGGCTGACACCACAATCTCCAGGGCCACCCCTTTGAGGGATCTCAGAGGCCTGTCCCCACCTGGGGTGGCAGGCTCCTCTGCAGGCTCAGCCCCACTGGAATGGCCGTCTGCAGCTTCCTTGCGCTGTCCTAGGAGTCACAAGGCCCATTCTAATTGTAGCACATTCACCTGCCAGCTGGGTGACCTCAAACAAATCACTTGACTTCTCTAGGCCTCAGTGTCCTCATCTGTGAAATGGCATGGCTGGAGCAGATCGATGAAAGCTCCTTTTAAGCAGGAGAAGGAAGTACGTGTTAGCTAATACAGAAAACATGGTTCTGTCTATTTGGTGCAGTGGAGTCAGGGGACACAGAGGGAGGGGGACCCAGAGACCTACTGCATTCCTTCCAACAGAGAGCCTGGGACATGTCTGAGAATCAGGGTGCTAAGGAGCACGGTTTGAAAATTGCTGGGTTAGACCACCTTTAAGTTCCCTGCAGCCCTGATCTGTGCAATCCTCATTCTGGCAGCTGAACTTGGCGCTGAGCAGAGGTTGTAACTGGCTACCAGGAAGCAATGGGACAGGGGGCAAGGTCATGGGGGCTGTGGGGTTTCAGCTCTCTGGGGAGGTCAGAGCTGGTGGGGAGGCTCTGTGAGACCTCCAGATCCAACCAGGATGAAAAATAACAAAGTCCCTGAACCTGGTACAACACATCCCTCTTAAAGCAACTCCAAACACCCTTTTGATTCGTGCTCCAACCCTCAACCAACAGCTATTAATAAGTAGTTATTTTTAAAGTAAAACATCTGTCAGGCGCCTCCGACCTGCCAGGGAGCACTCTCATTCCCCCTCTCATGAGGGAGCAATCCCAGGCTCCGAGAAGGAAGTGCTGGAAGTTGCCAGGGCCAGGATTTGAATCCAGATCGACAGTGTTCATTCTACCACACAGAGGCTGCTCTCACTGAGACAGAGGCTTGGGGAGCCGGGATGGAGCCAAACCACGACGTTGGAGGGCCTGCTAACCACAGGCCCTGGTGAGCCCCGTGGGCCGGGGCGGCCAGCCAAGATGCAAGGCTGGGGCAAGGCTGAAGTGGGGTCCAAGGAGGGTGAGGGAGCCGGGCCAGAGGGAGGGAGTGCTCTCCAGCTAATAGCGGCTCAGGAGGGAGAAAAGGAAAAGTGAGAGGCGGGAGCATCTTGATGTGGTAAATCCCAGGCTCACATTCTCCAAGCCCACTGCGCATGGCTGGCCCCAGCAGGAATCTGCTTTGTGTTACCGAGTCTGAGGAGGAGGATTAAGAAGCGGAAAGGAAACCCGTGGGGATGGCACTGGGTCTGTGGTCCACGGGGTGATTTATAGCCCGCGTCATCCCGGCGCTGGCTGCCTGGGCGGGCCCTGCCATGGGCAGAAAAAGTTTCTCTCTTGTTCAGCCTACCCGTGGGCTGAGGAAGAAGGGGAGGCTGGGTTAGCTGGAGCCGTCCTCCTGGCCATGCTGTAAAGGCGGTCGGGGCAGCCTGGGGCCAGCCCCAAGCCCTCTGTTGGCTCTTAGTCCCTGCTGAAGCCACAGCTACCATCCAGGATTAAAGGAGACAGGGGTTTCTCTGGCCAAGGCCTGATCTTCAATTCTTGACCCCACCCTTTTCCTGGTGTCTACACTGGACCACCACCACCTCAGCCCAGGAATCTCAGCACGTACATCATCTATCCAAGGAAGTCTTATGACAACTGGGATGTAATGGGAAGAACACTGGGAGGCCTCAGGTGCCAGGACTTCCTCTGCAATTCAGCAGCTGTGTGACCTTGGGTAGCTCACTCTCCCACTCTGTGCTTTCATTCCCTCACTTGTACAGTGAGGGGAAAGGAGGCAGATTGGCATTGCCCAAAAGGTGTTCTGTGAAACATGAGCTCGGTGAGGCATTCCATGAATTTGGGAAATACCACATACCTTGACCCCAACTTGGAAAGTCGCTGCATGTATTACGATATCAAAGGCTCCGAAAAGTCCTGTAGCGAAGAAATTTGTGTGGCTTTAATGACCCAGTTTCCCAACTGACTTTTTTTTTTGAAACAGGGTCTCACTCTGTCACTTAGGCTGAGTGTAGTGGCGAGATCATGGCTCAGCGCAGCCTTGACCTTCCAGGCTCAAGCGATCTTCCCACCTCAGCCTCCCAAGGAGCTGGGACTACAGGCATGCACCACCACGCCTGGCTAATTTTTGATTTTATTTTTTGTAGATTCAAGGCCTCACTATGTTGCCCAGGCTGGTCTTGAACTCCCAGACACAAGCAATCCTCTCGCCTCAGCCTCCCAAAGTTACAGGCGTGAGCCACTGCAGCCAGCCTTCCCAACTGATTTGATCATGTAATTGCTACTGCACTGTGAGGAGCAGAAACTCACTTCAACCCTCCAGGAAAGGGAAGCTCATTTAAAGTTACAAAAGGGTGTTTCACAGAGACCGGGGGAAGGTCTCAGAAAAGGTAGCAAAGGGCTTGCAAAGGTCAGTAGGGGCAGTCTGTGGCCCTGCCCTCTAGATGCCTGCTAACAGTCACTTGCAGGTATCTGCCTTCCTCCCTGACTACCGACTGGCCTGGTCTCCCGGCATGCCAATCCCCGAGACCCAGTGGAGGATGCTCATTGGTCTAGCCTAGGTCTGATTTATTCCCCTGGACCAATCAGCTGTGGCCAAGGGATAGGAGACAAAGATGCCAATGATACTTCTTCATAAGAGGCTGCGTGTGGGGTGGGTTGCATGTGGGGATGCATAATTGCAAATATGGAGGATAGCAAGCATCCCCGCTGTGACCACCACACCACAGAACCCCTTTCATGGAATGCCTGGCAACATCCTGTGTCCCATGTGAGGGGCACAGTGCGAGAGGCTTGCATTCCCCCCAGCTCTGGCCCTTTGTGGGTTTTTGTGTTTCTGCTGCCAGCCAAGGCTCTGGGTCTGGCTTACTCCCTAGCTTACTGTCCTCAGAACCTCTGCCACCACGGAAGATGTCCTTTATTTATGTATTTATTAATTAATTAATTTATTTATTTATTTATTTTTATTTGTTTTGAGATGGAGTTTTGCTCTTGTTGCCCAGGTTGGAGTGCAGTGGCGCGATCTTGGCTCACTGCAACCTCTGCCACCCAGGTTCAAGCGATTCTCCTGCCTCAGCTTCCTGAGTAGCTGGGATTACAGGTGTGCACCACCATGCCCAGCTAATTTTTTGTATTTTTAGTAGAGACAGGGTTTCTCCACGGCCAGGCTGGTCTTGAACTTCCAACCTCAGGTGATCTGCCCTCCTCAGCCTCCCAGAGTGCTGGGATTATAGGCGTGAGCCACCGCGCCCAGCCGAAGATGTCCTTTAAACAACAGGTTCTGGTGCTAAAATTAACCATGAGAATGACTAGATGAGATGGCCTCACAGGTCCCTCTCAGCTAGTCTGACATACCAAGTCAGAGCAAGGTGATTTGGTCAGTGTGGCAAAGTGGGAGCATTTATCACAAGCAGAAATCATCTTTTTATCTGTTCACTTGTTTATGGCCAGAATGCCAGCTCCACGAGGGCAGGGATGTGGCCTGTTTTGTTTGCTGTTGTAGCTCCAATGCCCAGAACAGTGTCTAACACACAGCAGTATCTCAATAAATACTGGGCCAGGCGCAGTGGCTCACACCTGTAATCCCAGCACTTTGGGAGGCCAAAGCACGAGGATCTGTTGAGGTCACGAGTTCGAGACCAGCCTGGCCAACATGGCAAAACCCCATCTCTACTAAAAATGTAAAAGTTAGCTGGGTGTGGTGATGTACGCTTGTAATCCCAGCTACTTGAGAGGCTGAGGCAGGAGGATCTCTTGAACCAAGAAGGCAAAGGTTGTAGTGAGCTAAGATTATGCCACTGCCCTCCAACCTGGGTGTCAGAGGGAGACAACAACAACAAATAAATACTGGTTGACTCAATCATAGCTACTTCAAGTCACAGGCATTTTACTCACTGTGGCTTTATATGTTACAAAATATTTCTCCTATTTCAAATGCAATATTGAGCGTTTTTGTAAATGGGTCTATCTATACTTTCAGGGAAATTGTGGTAATTGTTATGAACCCTGGAACAATTTAGCATCCTTTATGCTTTTGTTTATTTCCAGTTTAAAAAAAAAAAAATTCTAATTGTTTTCCTCTCCTGATCACTTCTGTGTACTGCAGGGCAATTTTACCACTTTGGGGTATTTAAAAAAACGATTTTTTATCTGCCTTTAAGTTATTTTACCTTTTATATTTACTGTCAGTCTATGATACCTACTTTACCTACTTAACCATTTTCCACTATTTCAAATTATACATTTTCTGTATTTAATCAATTTTGATACAGCCTTCTACATGCAGGAGGGAATAAACCTCCAATGGGGTTGAAATCCTGACTTTTTTTTAAACTGGTCTTTCCTAAACAGGGCAGTCAGATTTCAAATGTTATTTTAAAACTAAAAGGTGAAAAAAAGAGCAGATATGGCATGGGAAGAGAATTTTTGAAAACCACAGTTTGCCTTTCACTGTTAAGTACACCAGTATATGGGCTAGAAAGGGGGCTGCATGTTTGCCTCTGAATGCTGCTCTTGATTCTTACTGGGGTTCATCTTGGCCCCAAAGTCAGCTGAGGGGCCCTGAGCAGGATGCTTAACCTCTCCAAGATGAGTTTCCTCATCTTTTTTTTTTTTTTTTTTTTTTTTCTGACAGCTTCTTGCTCTGTTGCCCAGGTTGGAATGCAGTGGTGCAAACAAGGCTCACTGCCACCTCAGCCTCCCAGGCTCAGGTGATTCTCCCCAATCAGCCTCCTGTATACCTGGAACCACAGGCTCATGCCACCACACCTGGCTAGTTTTTTTTATCTTTTGTAGAGATGGAGTCTCACTTTTGTTGCCCAGGCTGGTCTTGAACTTAAGGGCTCAAGCGATCTTCCAGCCTCAGCCTCCCAAAGTGCTAGGATTACAGATGTGAACCACCGTGCCTAGTCAATTTCCTCTTCTTTCTTTCTTTCTTTCTTTCTTTCTTTCTTTCTTTCTTTCTTTCTTTCTTTCTTTCTTTCTTTCTTTCTCTCCTCTCTCTCTCCTCTCTCTCTCTCTCTCTTTCTCTCTCTCTTTCTTTCTCTCTTTCTCTCTTTCTCTCTTTCTCTCTTTCTTATTTTTGAGTCAGAGTCTCACTCTGTCACCCAGGCTGGAGTACAGTGGCATGATCTTGGCTCACGGTAACCTTCGCCTCTTGGGTTCAAATGATTCTCGAGTCTCAGCCTCCCGAGTAGCTGGGATTACAAGCGTATGTAATCACACCCGGTTAATTTTTGTATTTTCAGTAGAGATGAGGCTTCACCATGTTGGCCAGGCTGGTCTTGAACTATTGACCTCAAGTGATCCACCCACCTCAACCTCCCAAAGTGCTCTGCCTCAAAAAAGAGAAAAAGAAAATACAGAAGAGTGAACAGAAAGAAAATTGTTTCAATCACCTTAATCTCTCCACTGACAGCAAACCACTGATAACATTTGGGTGACTACTGTCCCATATGCTATTCCCATGCATATGCGTCCTCACATACAGTATTTTATGAAAAGTGGAATTACGCTGTACAAGCTGCATCATAAGCTGCATTGGTGTTTTCTTTAACACTCAAGCCTGGACATCCTTGCATTTGACAGATCTGCTTTCACATCTTCTCCAAGGGCCAGGCTTTGCAGAGGTTATTCTGGGCACAGGCGCAAGTCCTGGGCTTCTGGCCTCCAAGCTCCCCATGGACCTGGAAGCAGGTATGGTCCAGTCGGCCCCCAGCACCTCCTGCCTGCCTGGCCTGGGCACCATGGGTGACAGGCAGGAAATTTATGAGCAGTTGGAGTTGGCTGCTATTTGCGGGGGGCAGGAACAGGGCATGAATCGAGGATAGTGCTGTGTCCGGGCTGGGAGGGCCCTTCAAGGTCCCAAGTGTCTAAGAGTTTCGGTTATGGCCAGAGCCTTTAGTGAGCCAGGACAGTTGGCCTGGAGGCCAAAAATGGAGAGAAAATGTCATTTATTCAGCAAAGATGTATTAGTTCCTAATAGGGGCCAGTCCTGTCCCAGGCACTAGGGCAGCTTACAGTCTAACTCTAGGGGAAAGCTGAGGACCACCGTTGCTGGCTGCTGCTGCGGATTCCACCCAGTCCTTTCTGTATTTCTCAAGGCTGCTCACCAGAGAGGAGGGGACTGGCACAGCCTCAGCTGTGCTGTGCAGACAGCTGCCCCACAGGCCCCAGGTTAGGAGCAAGGTAGGGCCAGCAGTCAAACCCCTCCTTCACTGAGGCCAATGGATGTGTTCAAACCTCAGAGTCAGTCAAAGCCGTGTAGAAGAACTTTCCTATCAGTAAGAAACAATCATTGCATCAGGCAATGTTGAGGATGAGAGCAGGTAACCTGGGGAGCCCTTCCTGTGGTAAGATGCTAGAGGTGTTGCTGGGTCCCAGGTATCCTAGGCTAGCATTTATTGAGCACCTACCACGTACTCCACAGTGTTGCAGCGCCTTACTTGGAGTTACTTCCACCCACTAGAATGTAGGTTCCACAAGTTCAGGGCTGGGGCTGGGGGTTGTCAGTTGAGTCCTTGCTGCCTCCCTAGTCCAGGACAATGAGGGCCTGCTCATGTCCACCCTCTTACCCCCACCAGCCCCACACGCAACACAAGGTGGGGACGACGGGTTCCTCCTCTGAACTCCTGAAGCTCTTTATCCCAACTCCTCCTACATCCTCCTACGCCACGAATGGTTGTCGGTGTGATTGCCACAGTTCCTTCCCCTACCCCACACACCTCCACCACCAGCACCCCATCCTCCCAGAGCCTGGGAACAGAAGCAAGTGCATCAGTGCTCAGAGTCACCATTTACAGAGGGCGGCCCCTTACCAAGCACATGCTGCACTTGTTTGCATGCGCTGTCTTTCGTAATTCCTGGGAGGTGCCTACCGCTGTGCCCATGTTGCAGATGAGGAAATGGAGGCCTGAGTG